ACCTGATAAATCCACTCTAGCATGCCAACTTCCCTAAGACCTTGGATACCTTCTTCTACAGTTTACCAAGGGAGTCTGGTACTTCAACTTGATTTAGTGTTGGCCACTGTGTAATCCATGTTTCAACGTCCCAACCAAATAAACTATTAGATCCTTTCCTAACCTCTCACACTGAAACACTGAATGAAGAATCTGTGCTTAGGGGATCCTTATCAATAAACTCAGACTGATCCATTTTTATGGTCTTTGCACCATTATTCCACACCCTTAATAGCCATTCCCACACATATCCCCCAGGTTTCTGTTTGTACATGTTAGAAAAGTCAAGCAGTTCTTTTGGAGTGCAGCATACCTCCTCCTGGGTCATACTTTGTACTTTACCTTTTGGGGCTCACTGGGACTTAAGTCTAGTTATAGGTCTAGGAAAAAAAATGAGTGGTGTGGGATGTGTTTTGAGAACATTCAGCAATGTCTTGTAAGGCGTCTGCCTCAGGCAATGCCCCAGGCAATGACTCAGATGCCTCCCCAGGTGATGACTCAGACAAAGGCTCTTCAGACACAGCTAGTTAATCTCATCACATAGGGGTGGAGGGGTTAATGGTCTTACTGGAGAAGGTATCTTGGCAGACAAAGATGGAGTAATCTCTTCAGATGGGAGTAAGAGGGCTGGTTCTGTTGGCAGGACTAATTCAATGGAATTCAGAGGATCAATGTCCCCAGCTTCCTGATTATCTGCCCATATGTACCCATCCCAAGTTTCAGGATCCCATTTGTTCCCAATCAGTGCTCTCACTTTAACTTCAGATACCATTCAAGGCTGGTAATTCCACCTGTGTTTTAATTTAGCCACTCTTACAATAAGACTCTTGCTTTAATTTTTGGCAATATAAGCTCTGTTACTAAAAGAAATAAGGCTTTCTTTCAGGGCACATGTGGCAGCTTTGAGGTCATTTATAAATTGCTTGAGCTGTGACTCTGAAGCTCTGAGCTCATCTCTTTCTTTCACCACTTGGTCTAGCAAAAGTAGGACCAACCAACCAGCTTCCTTAGACTTCTCATTCTCACTAAATTGTAGAAAAGTATCAAACATGCAATTACCCAGAGCCTTGCCTCTCACCAATACTTGGTCTACTGGTGCTGATATTTTGTGTATTTCTATTGCCACCTCACGCCATGGATTAGCAGTGCCCTTTTAACTATTGGAAGCAGAGTCATCAACATCTTTAAAATTAACCAGACTTGAGAACCAATTTAGAAATGTCATCCTTACAATTTTGCTTCTCTAGAACCACTCTTGGTACCAAATGTCTTAGGCTGAGTTCTCTAGAGAAGCAAAACCAGTGAAGGAAATGGCTCACGTGGTTGTAGAGGCTGGCAAGTCCCAAGTCCATGGGTCAGGCATCAAGCTGGAGGCTTCTCCTGACTCACGTAGCTGCAGGGGCTGAAGAACCCAAGCTTGGCAGGTCAGATGGCAGGCTGCTGGCTCACAGGCTGTGGAGACCAGTGAATCTCAAGATTGTTAGGCAATATGGCAGGCCACTGGCTCAAGTCCCAAGAATCAGAGGTGAGACGATGATAAGCCAGATGCAGGATCCAGAGTGAGCAAAAGCCAGTAAGCTTTACCAGAATGTCCAGATATATTGGCTGCAGGCCACACCCCTGAGGAAACTCCCCTTACAACTGATTGGCTGATCACATCATACAAGTGATTACATTATATCACAAAACGAAGGATAACATAACTGCCAAATTATATCATTACATAACTAACAAACTACTGAGAATCATGGCCCAGCCAAGTTGACTCACAACCTTAATCATCACACCTCCCAAATCCCAATTACTCAATGCTCACCACCACTGAGGAAAAGGAGTGGAGGGGGCACCCAGATGGTAGCAGAAAAGACCCAAGGCCCTAGCCAGCCCCTCTTATTTGCAAGGCTCTGTAGGTGAAGCCCCACCTCCAACCCCCACAGCACCCCTCAGGTCATTTGTCTTTGGACACTTGGGCTCAGTTTTCACAGCTGTCACCTATGTAAATGTGGCGGATGGGTGGAATTATCAGAGAAGAAGCAGGGTTAGGAGGAGTCTGTCCTGCAGAGAGGTCAGGGGAGGGGGCCTGTCTCCACAGTCAAAGGGGGCAGGGGTCCGGATGGACTGTAGCTAGGACATCATAACACTCTTATGTTCTCAATAACAGCTACCATTTATTTGAGCATTGTGCTAAGGACTGTATGTGTATTCACTTTGTTAACCCTCACAACAGCATTCTGAGGTAAGTTCCACAATTAGCCCCCATTTACAGATGAGGAAGCTGAGGCCCCAGGAGATTAACCACTTGCCCAAGATCACACAGGTAACAGGTGTCAGGAACCAGTATGCAAACCATTTTTACGGATTAGGAAACCTAGGTTCAGAGAGTGGAAGAGATTTTCCTTAGGTCACTCAGCTTGGAGAGGTGGAGATCCCAGCTCAGGACTACTTGCCTCCAGAGCCCAAGTCTTCTCCATCCTGCTCTCCTGCCTCCCCCCGCCCATCTTATTGGGAGAAAGGACCCCAGAGGAAGTAAAGAGAAAGGAAAAAGGGAGCTTGAGAAAGCAGGAAGTGACTTTGAAGAAAAACAAAGTGAGCATATCCTAGAAAAGAATGTTCATTCAACCCCTTTATTTCATCTCCAAAGTATTTTTTAAAACTACATGCACAAAAATTCACCACAACATTATTTATAATAGTGAAAATTTGGAAACTCAAAGGAATGATCCAGTAAGGTTTTCCATAAAACTCTGTGGTGGAATATTATACAAATGACAGTTACAAAGCCATGTGGCACCATGGAAAAAAGCTTATAATTAGGTAAATACCCTTTGATTCAGTAATTTCTTTTTCTGGGAATATGTTCTAAGGAGTTAACCTTAAATATGAGAAAGCTTCCCCCTCCCACCCCTTTTAACAAAGATGTTTTCCACAGTCTTCATAAAGTATTTAGTATATTTTTCTGGAATCATTCCTTCAGCCCTGATAATACACAGAGGGAATTTAGGGGTAGGACCACGCTTTCCAAACCAAACTCAGGGCAAAGGATCTTCTCTTTGATTTGTTGATTTATATGTCAAAGTTTTAACCAAATCTAAACTAATCACACTAGTTCTACCCTAACAATATGGCTTTATGGACCATAAAACAGGAATTCTTCAGAGAGATATGAGCTCTCTATTTCCCAAGAATACAGTTTAAAAATTCATAAGTATACAGTTGGTTCTCATTATTCACAGTAGTTATGTTCTATAAAGTAATGTGAACATGGAATTAGGAAATCCTGAACCATTGCTCCTAGAGGAAATACAGGGGTAGGTTTCTGCAAGCCTCTGATAACAACATTTCATCAACCAATCAATACATTACCTAGTTCTCTGTGTGTTTCTATTTAAAGACAGCTTATTTAATAGATACAGGTAGTCAACGACTTACGATGTATTTGAGTTACAACAAACCATACTTACAACCATCTTTTTTTTTTTTTACATCTTATTGTTAGTAATAAGCACTACATACAGTGTTGCAGCTCGTAATTTGCTGATGTTATCATTTGCAGATGTTCACTTGCAGATGCTCAGTGTTATGATTTACTGTTCAAAACAGTGCTGCATAGCAGGCAGGCTGTGGCCTGCTCTACAATGAAGTCAGCGTCGGTGTTGGTGTTGGGAGTTGTCACGGATAGAAAGTTGGGCCATGTTCAACTATAACAACATGTGACAATTGAACTGTGCATGTGCCCAACAGCCATTACAACTCCGACTTCATTATTATGACACTGACACCTACTTCATTGTTGACCAGGCCTGCAGAGTGATCTTAGTCAGCATTTTGTACAAACAGGAACATCAGTGGTTAATTTCATTGTTGGAGTGAATTTTTATGATTTTAGGATTTGTGTACTTTTTATGTATATATGTATTAAAATATATCTGTAAGTTTATATGTAACGTTCCCCACCCTTAAAGATAATATTGAAAACTCAAAAAAAAAAAAAAGGTATTTTTCTTATGTCAGAACCGACTTATGACAGAATCACTGGAAAGGAACCCCATTGTAAACTGGCGACTAGCTGTATCATTGATCCATTAACGTTGAACTCACAGCCAACAGCACTATAACTCAGGGCCCAGCAAACCTTATCTAACTCGTGTATTTCTTTATAAGGCACATCACAGCTTTCTTGTGCTTAGGAACACTAGACAGCACTTCAGTACTATGCTTGGAGGCCACTTTAAACAGTGAAATCACCAACAAAAAGGACAAAAATGTGAAAAACGTGGTACTGAAATGACACTTGTTTACAGTATGAGCTGAAACAAGAAGGCAGAGCGGCACCTGGTTGGGAATGTGCCCGTCTGGTGACTCAAATTTTTCGCCACTCTGCACATGTCCGTGAATGACTGCAGAAGCGCCCTGAGTATGGATTTTGGAGTTACAAATTTTGGTGAGTGGGCAAATTGAAGAAGCCCTGGTGGTGCAATGGTTAAGAGCTGGGCTGCTAACCGAAAGACTGGCAGTTCGAAGCTCCAGAGAGAAAGATGAGGCAATGTGCTTCCATAAAGATTACAGCCTTGGAAACCCTATAGGGGCAGGTCTACCCTGTCCTATAGGGTCGCTACGAGTTGGATTTGACTTGATGGCAATGGGTTTGGGTTGGTTTTCAGGCAAATTGAAAATACGGAATCTATGAAGAATGAGGATCAACTCTATTTGCACAAATGCCCTAGATGCTGTCCCCTTAGTTAAACCCTCTCTTTTCCATGGAGACCCTTATTTCTGACACAGTGGCCTGTCCTGGACCTAACAGACTGTCAGGTCCCTGCACCCACTTCCAGTTCTCCTGGTGAAGGGCCCCTCCAGCTGAAAAATTGGGGCAGAATGCTCCTTTACTCAACTCTTCTACTTCCTGTCTTTTCCCCACCCTCCAAGCTTCCCCTTCCCCCAGGGCCCCCCATGGTACTTACTCAGCCGCCTCAAGTATAAAACCGCATCCTCGTACCCTCGGTAATAGTACTCGTGCAGGACCTGGGGTTGGTGGGCGGAGGGGAGGGGGACACCAGGAAAATAACTAAGGCTGAAGCAATAGAGACAGCCACGGTCCCCTCACCCAGAGCAGCACCTTTCATTGCCTGTGAGCTTTATTTGATGGGCTTTTCAAAACTTCCTCATCCAGTGTCCTATCCCTCACAATCTGCTAAGAATTGGGGAGCAATTCCTGATAATGTTCCCATGCGATGCGGCGATGCTGCGCTAATGTGTTACCATTCACGGCTGATCATCGGCCTCCCCTGGGCAGGGCAGGTGGGATGGTTATTGTAGAACCAGAGAAGGCACATTTGGGCCAAATGAAGAGCAGAGTTTAGAGATTAGGGTTCAAATCCTACTGCTGCCACTTATTGGCCTTGTAGCTGTAACCTCCCACAGCTTCAATGTCTTCATCTGTAAAATGGGATAATAATAGTATCTATCACGGAGGATGCTGGAGGATTACATGAGCTATTGCCCATTGGAGCCCTGGTGGCGCAGTGGTTAAGAGCGTGCCTGCTAACCAAAAGGTCAGCAGTTCGATTCTACCAGCCAATCCTTGGAAACCCTATGGGGTAGTTCTACTCTGTCCTACAGGGTTGTTAGGAGTTGGAACTGACTCGATGGCACCTAATAACAACAACAACATTGCCCATTAAGCCTTTTCTGTAAAGGGACAGATAGTAAATATTTCAGGCTTTGCAGGCAACATATAGTCTCTGTCACGTGTTTTTTCTTCTTTTTCTTTTTTAACAATCCTTTAAAAATGGAAAATCCATTCTTAGCTTATGGGCTGTTGATAAACAAGCCAAGAGTTGGATTTGGCCCATGGGCTGTCGTTGGCTGAGCCCTGCTTTGTGCATTTCCTGGTAGAGCAGAAGCACTCAGTTAATGTTCCTATCAGGGGTTCTGGCATCAACGCATTTTATGGGGGAGAAAATTGAGGCTGGGACAGCTTAGGGGACTCACTCAAGGTCGCATAGCCAGTTAGCAGCAAGGTCAGGATGCAGCCCAAGAGGAACTTTAAGCGATCACTTGAGGGGAACTTGAGCTGGGTCCACCGGCTCCCCCATTCTGTCCCCAGTCCCTGCCTGCCCCAACCCCACACAGCTGGCCAGCCGCCCTGCCTCTCACCTGCAGGTCCGGGGGGAACAGTGCGTAGTTCATCCTGGTGATGTTCTCCAGGGAGAACTGGAAGGAGTAGTTGAACAGGCGGAAGTCGGCGAAGATGGCGGGGCAGTCCCGGGGGCAGATGTCCTGCTGTCCACTGAAGGTGGAGATGGTGATGGAGTCGGTCCAGAAGGAGCAGGGCTGCATACTGGTGAAGCCCCCATCAATGTACCTCTGTGGGTGGGGTGGGCAGAGATGCTCATCTGGGGTCAGGGATCTTCACACCACTCAGCGAGTTCATCAAGGAAACGAGTCCATGGGACCGTTCAGGACAGGCCTTGACACCAACGTCCAGTGTGGGTGAGTGGTGTGTCCAAGGTCACCTGGTGAGTCCACAGTGGCTTCTGGACTCCAAGCCCAGTGCTCCGTCCCTGCACTAACTCCCCTAGGTTATTTCAATGGTGCTGAGATTGGGGCTCCCAGGCCTCTGTCAGGAGGGAGGAGGGGACACCCACACCCTGGATAAAGGCTACCCTCCTCACCAGCCAGTCAGCTGCTGAGGGCAGGGCTGGGGATTGGAGTACCTCCCCGTGGCCCTTTGAGAAGGTATACACAGGGTGTGTCTGAGCAGGCTCTGAACTACCCACCTCCTCATACTGCCACGGGTCCAGCCTGCCTCCCTCGTTTGAGGTCATGCATCCTGGCACTGTCCAAAGCACCCTCGACCACAGCCTCACCACCAGCCACTGTGTGTCCTCCCTCATGTCCCTCCCTACTTGAGGCTTCTGTCTCCTGACCTATGAATGAAAGTCAACAAATATAGAGGCTCTAACCCTCTGGGGTGCCTGAGAATCACAGGGCTGACACGCGACACAGGCTCCATCTACTAGCTAAACCCTAATCTCTGGACCTCATTTTCCCTCTGTATAAAATGAAGATGGGGCAGTGCTGGATTAGACTCTCCCTACTCAAAGTGTGGTCTGTGGACCAGCAGCTCAAAGTGTGGTCTGTGGACCAGCAGCTCAAAGTGTGGTCTGTGGACCAGCAGCACTGGCATCACCTGAAGCTGGTTAGAGGTGCAGACTCTCAGGCCCCGCCTCAGACCTACTGGAACAGAATCTACATTTTTTTAAATAAGATCCCCAAGTGATTCACGTGCATGTTAAAATTTGGGATGTACTGACCTAGCTGCCCTCAAAGGTCGCTTCTGACCCGTCATTCAGTGTTCCGGTTCTGCTGTTCCAGGATCTGTATTCTACGCTCTCTGTCGAAACCTGGCAAGCCTGTGGGCCCTTGGCCTCCCAGACTCAGTAAATCCTTCGTGGAGAGTTTAATTCCAGTTTGGTCCATAAAGGGGCAGACACGAGGAATCACGTAAAGAGTGGGAAGTGGAAGAGTTTTGGAAACTGGACAAAAATGACCCTGTGTGCCGTGAGGACCAACAGAGGCAGGGACCTTGGAGAATAGAAACCCTCAGCCTCTGTTAGGAGAAATGGGGTGTACTTGGAACAGGGAATGAAAGGAGGCCTGGAAAAATGAGAGCAGTTGGCTTATTAGGGGATAAATTTTAGGTGGTTTTTATTACATTTAAATTTTAAATGATTATTATTGAAGAACTAGTTCAATTCTAATCTCTGGATCTCATTTTCTCTCTATATAAAATGAGACCCTCCTTACTCAAAGTTATCCACAATAATTTTTGGTAGCAAAGTGAGGGCTGATTGTTATTTAGGGGGTGAAGGGTGTGGATGGGTGGGGGGTGGGGGAGACAGAGGAACTAGGTCCAGGAGAGGCCGCCCGGCTGTGCCCACTTCCACGTCTGTATCTGAGTGGCCTCAAGCAATTGGCAAGGGAAAAATCCACCGAATTCTATCAAGCCTTTTGAAGATACAGAGATTCTACTGCCCCAGACACTGTTTAGAAGCAGCTGAGAAGGGTGGGAAGTTGTGGCTCATTTTTTCCAGAAAGAGCTGGGGAGATGTGGACTTGGGAATGCAGAGGTGAGGGCTAGGGAACTGGGATTATGTCAGAAGGGTGGCTGGGGGGCAGAGCCTAGGGCCATGACTCCTGAGGGGCGACTGCCACCGGCCGCCTGCACCAAGTCTTCCTGCCCTGACCATTCTCAGGGACCTGCCCTGGCATCTTAAATCACCACTGTCAATCTGGGCTCCTACAAGGACATTCCTTGAGCCGAAAGCAAATTCCACACACATTAGGAAGAAACTCAGAAATCAAAGAAGGGAAGGACTGCCTGAGACCAGAGTCTGTGGGTTGGTGGGTCCAGAGAGAAGCCCAACCCAGCCTGGGGAGTTCATCTTGTTGCTGTTAGCTGCCATGGAGTCAGCCCCCAAATCATGGTGACCCCATGCACAACAGAACAAAATGCTGCCCAGTCCTGCACCATCCCCAAACCGTTGTGATCCATGGGGTTTTCACTGGCTTATTTTCAGAAGTAGATCACCAGGCCTTTCCTCCTAGTCTGTCTTAGTCTAGATGCTCCACTGAAACCTGTTCAGCATCATAGCAACACACAAGCCTCCACTGACAGAGGGGTGGTGACTGTACATGAGGTGCATTGACCTGGGAAACGAACCTGGATCTCCCATATGGAAGTTGAAAATTCTACCACTGAACCACCAAAAATCCCCGGAGATCTGTGCACAATGGGAATTCTAAGTGGAAAAACACAAGAAACTTTCCAACTCTTGGTCCTCCCACTGCATTCTGAAACCATCCCATAGCTCTCCCAGATGTGGGCCATGAGGGTCTCCCAGATCCCTGCTCTCCCCCTCACCACGCTGGAGTACTCACCTCACCACGGTAGGTCGGGGGGATGAGGCCGCAGTACACGGGGACGAAGCAGCTGCAATACAGGGCCTGTGCGGAGACAATGAGGGGCTGAGATGCCAGAGGACCTGGGGGCTGTGCCTGGCCTTCCTTAAACCCAAGGGGAAGCACCACCCTGGGAAGCAGAGCCCCCAGTTTAATTCCTGCCTTTGTGTTCTCAATAAACTACTTGGTCAGTTGGGGCCTGATGTCCCAACTTTAAAGGGAGAAGGTGGCCTTAATGACAGCCAAGGTCTCTTCTGGCACCTAAATTCTATGAATCCAATGGAATTCAACAACCACTACTGTGTGTCTGTCCTGGGCCAGGCCCTGGAATCAAAGGAAGGTGAGACCCCCACCCTTGGGAATGCCCAAAGAGAGACAGAAAGCAAAAGGTGATGGTACAGGGGGCTGACAGGTGCTGTGACAGGTCCATAGAGTGTCGCCCAGACTCCCTCATCAGGTTGATGCCATCCCCCAGCTGCTGGAACATGCCACTCCAGCCCCCTGGCTCACAGCTCTCAGCTGCGTCCCTCCCGCAGAAATCCCACAGCTGAAGGGAGCTGCCTCACCCAAGTCACCTACCCCCAGAGGGCAGCCTGAGGCCAACCACTGGCTGTGGCATGTCCCAGAAGCTGGGGGATGGCTTGGCCTTGTCTCAATTTGAGGACATCTCTGAAGAGCCAAGGGAGCCTTGGTGGTACAGTGATTAAGCCCTCGGCTGCTAACCGAAAAGTCTGCGGTTCAAACCCACTAGCTCTGCAGGAGAAAGATGTGGTAATCTGCTTACATAAAGATTTACAGCCTTGGAAACCCTATGGGGGCAGTTCTACTCTGTCCTATGAGGTCACTATGAGTTGGAATTGACTCGGTGGCGATCGCTTTGGGATTTTTGGTTTTCTAAAGAGCCACCTCAGCTCCAGAGCTCCCTGCAGAATCTGCTGGGCCTCTGTTGAGCTGCATTGCAGGTCAGGTTCTCCCTCTTCCTAGTCCTACCCCCTGCACCCCCTGCAACCCTTCTGCTCACAGATTTCTGTCCAGACCCTGTCCCCAAGGAACCTGACCTAAGACAAAGCAGGAACCAGGGGGCCCAGATTTATTCGGTTTACAATAAAATAAAACAAATGATGAAGATGGACTCATCATTTGCTTCCAGTCTCCCGCTCTTAAGCTTTAGGCCCTCGCTGGCACCCTTCTCTGGTCCCTCTGGAATTGGGAGGTGGACCTGCCTGCTTACCTCTGCCAGCTTCCCCTGAAGGGTAGTGGCCAGTCTGAGTCTGCTGCTTAATCGTCCTTCCCGCTGCACCCCACCCGCTCACCACACAAGGCCTAGCTCAAGTATTCTCACTAGGAAAACCAACCCCCAAGCAAAGCTGAGGGCTAAGTAAACCAGGGTTATGTGAGGTGAGTGGAGGAGGTGGCCATGTCCACTGCCTATTCTCACACACACACACACACACACACACACACACAACCCACCCTGCCCAGGAGCATGGCCAGGTCTGTGTGAGGATGTGAAGATGGATGGCAAAGGCCCTCTATTTAGGAGGAGGGGAGTGGAAATGGGATGGAGTGCCGTGTGGCTTAACTCCTTTGTCCTGAAAGAAAATGGGCATATCTAGGGCACTCTACAGTAACAATAACTCATAACTGAAACTCACATTAATGAGTTAATACACTTAAAGAGTTTGGAACACTGCACTGCTAGGCTTGGAGCCGTTTTTCTGAGTGACATCCTTTCAATGATAATTTAACCCTTTTATTCAAGGCCTGTGCTCAGCTACTGAACGAAAGGTTGGTGATTTGAAGCCGCCCAGCAGTGCCACGGAAGAAAGGCTTGGCAGTCTACTTCTGTAAGATTACAGCCTTTGAAAACCCTATGGAATACAGTTTTACCCTGAAAACATGGGGTCACCATGAGTCAGAATTGACTCAATGACCGCAACGGGTTTTTTTTCTTATCAATGGCCACTGGAAGGCCGGGGGCACAAGAGGGAAACTGAAGGTTCCTCTTCCCTGACTGTTCCCCAAAATAGTGAGTAATTCCACGTAGGTAGGTTCACACTGCAACCCAGGCTGGGAGGCCCTACAGGAGACATGTGGGTTATGACATGTGGGTCTGTAGGCTATGCCCGGGCCTCTGAGACGCTCCAGGATTGGCACGGAGGACAGCACAGAGGTGAAAGGAGGGTCTGAGGCCCTGGGGATGCTGGGCGATAAGCACTGAGGACAGTGACCAAGTCTGATTCGCCTTGGAGTTTTCTGTGTCCAGGGCGTCTCCTCTAACACTGTGCCTGGCACAGAGAGATGCGAGGGCGATGAAGAAAGGGAAGGAACAGGGAAGCAGGAAACAGAAGGAAGGAAGTGAGGCAGACGGTGGACCACCCCAGGAGCCCATCAAGTTGGAGCAGGACCATTTCCAAACTTCTGCTCCCAGCCGTTGCCTCCCCAGTCCCAGCCTCCATTTCCCCAGGAAAAAACCCTGCCTTCCAGGTCCCAGATCCTGCCTCCCCAGCACAGACCCTGCCTCCCAGGACCAGACTCCACCTTCCCAAGTCCAGACCCCTGTTCCCCAGGCTGGGACCTCCAACTGTACCCTCCCACCCCTACGTCCCCAGACCCAGCCCATCAACTTTCCCTTCCCAGACCCTGCCTCCCAGGCCCCGACCCCGCCTCCCAGGCCCCGACCCCGCCTCCCAGGCCCCGACCCCGCCTCCCAGGCCCCGACCCCGCCTCCCAGGCCTCTTGCCTCTATGAGCTCTTCCTTGGACGTAAACTCCGAAACCACGACACTCTCTCCATCCGTGAGCCGGGTGAGGGCTACGTGCAGCTTCCCTGTGGCAAACTTGTAAGAGTCCTCAGGCAGAGCCTGGTACAGAAACTGCCTCATAATCTGCACCATCTTGCAGGACGGGGAGAAGGGCCCCAAGAAGGATTTCCTCACCTCGGCCACACCCACATTGAGGACTCTAAGGTACTCATCTGCAGAGGAAACAGAGAGAGGAAGGGTGGTGATCATCCTCACTGTGGACCGTGCCTAAAAGAAAAAAATACAAAAAAACCAAACCCACAGCCATCAAGTTGACTCCAACTCATAGTGGCCCTATAGGACAGAGTAGAACTGCCCCATAGGGTTTCCAAGGAGCAGATTGTGGATTCAAACTGCCAACCTTTTGGTTAGCAGTCATAGCTCTTAACCACTGCACCACCAGGGCTCCTGGTCAAGAGAGGTCTACAGTACTTTTGCTATCTTATCCTGCATCCAACAATGGGAATAGCTAGAATTCTAAAGCTGGGAAGGTCTCAGGAGTCAACCTGCCATTTTGCACAGAGGAAACCAAGGCACCGAAGAATTAAGTCACTTGCCCCAGAGAGCCCACAGCTGGTCCATGGCAGAACTAGATCCAGGTGGCCGGACTCTCTGTCCAGGAGTTGCTACATGATAGAGCTTTTCATATGAGGCCTAAAGAAATGCTTTCCTACCCCAGATAAGCTTACCTCAACTTCCTGTCACCATGCATGAAACACCACCACCACAGCCATATTCTTTTGGGGTCCCTTGGTCTATATGAGGCTCCCATCAAAACACTGATACAGCGGAAAGCTTTTACCAAGTGATTCCCTAGGACACTTGCTTATTGTCCACTAAGTCTGTGGGCATCAAGGGGACGCTGGCCTTGAGGCAGGTGGATTGTGAGGAGGAGGTAAACTTTGCCTTGAAACCATTACATCATCTCCCCTTTATGGCCCCTGGTATAGACCTGAGGTGGAGGCAGTGGTCCTTCCGTGGTAGAACTCTGCCCTCCCATGTGGAAGACCCAGGTTTGATTCCCTGCCAATGCACCTGATGCACAGCCACCACCTGTCCGTCCGTGGAGGCTTGTGTGTTGCTATGATGCTGAACAGATGTAGTGGAGCTTCCAGACTCAGAAGGACTAGGTAGAAACGCCTTGTAGTCTACTACTCAAAACTAGCTAATGAAAAACCTATGGCTCACAAGAGTCTGATCTCACTGTTTATGGGATCACTGTAAGTCAGGGTCCAACTCAATGGCAGCTAAAAATCTGATAAGCCTGAGAGAGAGAGAGAAGGCCCTGTTTTCACCAACGGGTTTCTGAGATGCTGAGCACAGCCATGTGGCTGGCCTCCCAAGGAGGGGGAGATAAACCTTCCCTCTACCTCAGAGAGGAGTAGGGGCAGGGCAGGGCAAGAGCTCACAAGTGCCAGATGGGGCCCAGAGGGCAGATGTGCTGTTCAGGGCATCGTAGAGGAGGGCGTGAACCCCAGCCCCCAGCCCCCAGAATGCCACCAGGGAAGTTTGGGTTGTAAATTCAGTAAGTGCTATCTTGCTTAATCCTCACAGCAGTATTATGAGGTAGCTATTTCTTTCTTGGAGCCCTGGTGGCACAGTGGTTAAGAGCTTGGCCACTAACCAAAAGGTCGGCAGTTCAAATCCACCAGCTGCTCCTTGGAAATCCAGTGGAACAGTTCTACTCTGTCCTTTAGGGTCACTATGAGTCAGAATCAACTTGATGGCAATGGGTTTTTGTTTTTTTTTTTTTTCTATTCTCATTTTACTGATAAGGAAACTGCGGCTGGGAGAGGTAAAATAACCAGCTCAGGGCCAACCAGTTAGTAAGTGGACAAAGAGGGATTTTAACCTAGAGTGCGATCCTGGAATCCATGCTCCTTCCACTACACTAAGTCCAAACTTGCAGAGCCAAGCACAGGTTTACCCGGAAACCTCCTGGGTCTGACACTTGCCCACCTCCGTGCCTGTACCTGCTTCTTGCTGATCGCTGCTAATTTCTATCCTGTGCAAACCCTCTGAGAAAATCAGGATTGGAACTAGCTCTGAAAAAGATAGCAATTTTTAAAAAAGAAATATTTCTCTGTAAAACATCCTATACAGAAGAACTTTCTTACAGCTAGTGTCATATAGCAATGGCTGCTTGGGAGGCTGTGCCATCATGAACTCTTTGCCACTGGATGTAACCAAGCAGAGGCTGGACCAGTACCTCTGCCAGAGAACTCAAATGGATGCCTGCATGGGCAGTAAGGGCTAAAATTCATTCCAACGTTGAGATTCTGGGATTCTCACAGGTGCCTTACAATGTATCTGTGAAGTAATCAGGAAGGACGTTACTCCCCTATTTACAAATAGAGCAGCTGAGACACAGAGAGATTAAGTGACTTGCCTGAAGTCACACAGAAATTTTGGGAGAAACCAAAGCTAAGGATGCCTTCTACACCTCTAGCGTTTTGCAGTTCATAGATTATTCCACACCGGTCCTGGAGGCAGACAGGATAAGGAGCTTCAGCACCATTTTACAGATGTGGAAACCACAGCAGAGATAAGTTGTGTCTTGCCTGAGGTTGGACAGCCAGGAAGTGGTTTTTCTGACTCCAAACCCCACCTTCTTTCCCCAGCTATTGGTCTGAACCCAGGGCTGAGGCCCAAGAGCATAAGGCTGAGCCTGGGTTGCCATGGTGACGGCCTTTTCTCAGCCACGATCAGAATCACACCTGCATATGTGTATTAGTGACCAACTGGAGCAATAGGAACATCTTGCTGTTACCCTCTTTCAGGGGAGGGTGCTCCTGGGAAGCAGTTTTATCGAGGTTAGCTTTTCCATGTGCTGACATGTACCAACAGTGTTTTCCCTCAAGGGAGGCCAGCAGCCAAACCACCCACAGGTTATGAAGCAACTGAGCATTTGGATACCAAAGTGTTGGGTCACTGAGGTCTTGCCCGAGAGACTAGTTGGAATGGGGAGTCGAACCAGGGTGGGGACTCACTGTTTTTGGAATTCTTGATGAGTGGCTTGAACTGACTTCCCAAGGGTCGATGACCTTTCCCACAATGCCTCAGAGCCAGGAGCACCTGGTCCTCACTCGCCCATACACTCACCCATATACTCCTGCACTCCTAGCAGGGGTACTGGCTGGAAAGGTGTCATGGATTGAATTGTGTCCCTTCCAAAATATCTGTCAACTTGGCTGGGTCGTGATTCCCAGTATTGTACGATTGTGTACCGTTTTGTAATCTGATGTGATTTCCTTATGTGATGTAAACTCTGTCACTATGATGTAATAAGATGGATTAGCGGCAGTCATACTGATGAGGTATACAAGATTGGATAGTGTCTTAAGCCAATCTCTTTTGAGATATAAAAGACAGTAGCGAGCAGAGACACATGGGAACCTCCTACCACCAAGAAAGCAGTGCCAGGAGCAGAGCACATCCTTTGGACCTGAGGTTCCTGCGCAGAGAAGCTTCCAGACCAAGGGAAGATCGATGACACTGACCTTCCTCCAGAGCCGACAGAGAAAGCGTTCTCTTGGAGCTAACGCCCTGAATTTGGACTTGTAGCCTACTGGACTGTGAGAGAATAAACTTCTCTTTGTTAAAGCCATTCACTTGTGGTATTTCTGTTACAGCAGCACTAGATGAGTAAGACAAACAGATAGAAGGAAATTTATTCTTATAGCATAATTAATACATGTTCATTGTGGAAAAAATAATTTTTTAAAAATGCAGATAGGTAAGAAAAAAAAAGATTAAAATGTGGAATTCCTCCACCTAGAGATTAACATTTGTCTTTGTCCTTCTAGGCTATGTATTTTATTCTCATACGGGGTCATACTGTTGTTAAGTGCTGTCAGGTCGATTCCGATTCATAGCGACCCCATGCACAACAGAACGAAACACTGCCCAGTCCTGAGCCATCCTCACAATAGTTGCTATGCTTGAGCCCATTGTTGCAGCCACTGTGTCAATCCATCTCTTTGAGAGGCTTCCTCTTTTTCGATGACCCTCTACATTACCAAGCATGATGTCCTTCTGCAGGGACTGGTCCCTCCTGATAACATGTCCAAAGTATGTGAGATGGAGTCTCACCACCCTCACTTCTAAGGAGTATTCTGGCTGTACTTCTTCCAAGACAGATTTGTTAGTTCTTCTGGAAGTCCATGGTATATTCAATATTCTTTGCCAACACCATAATTCAAAAGCATCAATTCTTCTTTGGTTTTCCTTATTTATTGTCCAGCTTTCACATGATATGAGGCAATTGAAAATACCATGACTTGGGTCAGGAGCATCTTAGTGTTCTTTTAACACTTTGAAGAGGTCTTTTGCAGCAGATTTGCCTAATGCAATATGTCATACCGTATATATCTATATATCTAGATATAGTGTATCTATTTTGTAACTTGCTTTTTCACCTAATATTATGACTATCTTTCCACATCAATCACTATCCACTTATAACCTCATTTTAAAAGCAGCACAGAGTGCTACTATAAAGTTATACCATTATTTATTGAGCAGGTCCCCAATTTAAAAAACAAAACAAACCAGTTGCCATCAATTTGATTCGGATTCATGGTGACCCTGTGTGTTGCAGAGTAGAACTGCACTCCATAGGGCTTTCAACGGCTGTGACTGTTTGCAAGTAGATCACCAGGCCTCCATGGTGCCTCTAGGTGGATTCAAACCACCAGCCTTTCGGTTAGTAGCCAGGCACTTAACTGTTTGTGCCACCCAGGAACCCTGATAGGAGCTGACTGTTTAGTTTTCCTTTTTCATTTCCTTTACTAAACAATGCCACAATGAACAATTTCCTGTTAAATTCGTTGCCCACCAGTTGCTGTCAAGTGAACTCTGACTCATGGCAACCCCATGTATGTTAGAGTAGAACTGTGCTCCATAGGATTTTCAGTGCTGATTTTTCAAAAGTAGATCACTATGCCTTTCTTCTGAGGCCCCTGGGTGAACTCAAACCTCCAACCTTTTTGTTAGCAGCCTAGTGCGTTAACCATTTACACCACTACCCAGGGACTACTAAATTCTTTGCCTATGTCCTTAATTATTTTCCTTAGGAGAAATTCTGAGAAGTGGGACTGCTAGGTCAAAGGTATGCATCTTTAAATTCTTATCATGCTTATTTTAATTGTTTTTTGTATATTATCCATTTACA